AGTTTTTCAAAATAAGTCAGTAATTCTCGTTATTTTACTGCACTATAGGATTTAGAAAATGTATGACATACATAATTTATCGGAATAACATTTGAATACTAGCACTTTTATACACAAATGAAGATTTTGTATACATACGAAGAGATAAAACTGACCTTAATTATTCATAAACATCCGGTAAGATTTATAATCTGTGATAATTTTGTTTGCTAAAAATCATCTTTACAAAATTATTTACTTTGTATGCGAGATTTTTTTTGGTATCTTATTAAATCATAAAGTCTTCAAAGAATTATCTAATTATGTATTTATATGCTTACGCAAAAAACGTCCTTACATTTCTACAATAAAAGCTAAAACAATACACTACACATACAATATACAATATACAATATATAATATCCAATATACAATATACAATATACAAGATAATATATGATATTTATTGTTAAATGTTAATGTTTCGGTTGATACAAATAAATATAGCGAAGTATATGAAAATACAGTATATAGATATTAGGTTTAAGTTCTACGCTAACAGCATATCATCATCATCTAAGGATCATTTAGACCGTTTGATGCAAAATACAATATATTTTTAGAAATACTTTTAATTTTCTGAGTGAAGTTTTTATATGAGTGTACGGGCTACCTTTTAAAGCCAAGGGGTTTGCTAGTACTTTCTGGATCGAAAATCTCGTTCAAGGTCTTGCGCCTTTTAAGCCTTGCAATGTACTTCACGACGTGATTTATTTCCGTGACTCAAAGTGTATTTACTGATGAACTTGCTCATGAGGCTCCGGTTTGTCGTAAAGGAAAGATCAAGTTAACGCCAGCCCAGATTAAATTTTCGTATCATGTAACAAGTTTTCTTTTCAGTAGTTTTTTTACTATTATCCACTTTAACTTTACATACAATATGTTTTATATGATACATTGTTCAATAGTAACAGTCTGAAGTTAGTTATTTGTCGTTTTAGAATTATTAATTTTCTTTTAAACTCTATTATAGTATTTATTTACTGTTACTCTACGTCGTCAAAGAAAATTTTTATAAAATTTCTACTTAATAAAAAAAACAATCTATAATAATATTTCCTTTTCACAATTATCATTATTATTATTATTATTATTAACATTAAAACCATTTATAGTTTTTCAAAATTCTTGTCAAATTTTCTTTTTAGATAACGAATTTTTAATATACCATAACCTGCTTTGGAGAATTATTTTACAAAATACATTTTGCACAAAATTCATCTATTTAAAATTAAATATAAAATGTATATTTACAACTGGGCAGATTTATAACTGTATACTTCGAAATTTTATCAACTTTATTTCAAAATCTTAATCCAATTTGTTTTATCTCTGACGTACATTACCCTGCCTATATATTATTATTTTATTGCGCGAATTTTGCTTGTAACACACAATTAATTTAATATTAATTCTATATTGCTTTGAAATCGATCATATTTTTAATATTCCATCTATAACAAATAGATTAAAATAAACTTTCATGTATGATTATTATAATTTTTTATAAATTATAAAACGATGTTCAAAATTCTAATTTTAATATTATCAATTTATTAATGTATATTTTTGAATAATAATTTTACATCGCCCCAATAGTCTTATGATTAAATTTATAAAAATAGATTATGATCAGAAATTTGTACATAAACTATATTAATAGCATCATGGTTTTAAAATAAACAAAATTACATACAAAATATTAATCATGAACAATTGTCCAGTTATATCTATAAGATGTTAATATTTTTAATTAAACAATTGTAAATATAAAAAAAAAATCACTGGTTAACTCTGAAAATTATTACTGCAAATTTCAATAAATTGGATTTTAAAAATATTAAATTATAAGACACAAAGTAAAATAAGAAGTCTTAAGTGTTACTTGTATATACAATTATAATTTGTTCGTTATCATAATTGAATTAGATTGTTTTAAAAATAATGTTAAATTACTATAGTAATTTTCAGTACGTATTAATTTTTTCTTTATTTACTAACTTAATAATTTATTTCCTATTTATGTATTTAAACATTTCTATCATAATTGCTATATTTATTACTATATATATATATTACAGCTGACAGAAATACATATAAATAAAAGATGAATATAATTAATGTTTATTTTTAATCAGCAAAAAGAAAAAGAATTTATAAAAACTACTTTTTATCATATTAAATCTCCATTAACAATATTTTATCTTCCTCTATCTATTGCTTATAGATAATATAAGAATTAAAACTTTCGTTTAATTTAAATTAGAATTCAGTTTATTTAATTTTGGTTATTGAATAAATTTTGAATAATCATGCATAGGTTTTTGGTGATTTCAATAAGAATTAACTATAATTTTATAATTATGTAATTAAATGATTTTTAGGTATTTTGAATTTTTGAGAGTGTGTAACTAGAATATTCAAATACATAATTATCTAATAGTTTTAAAGTTGATATGTAGTATATAATGAATCGATGTAGAACTTATTGTAAATAATTGGTTTATTTAAAAAAAAAATATTAGCATTCTATTTATGAAAATTAAAAATAGACGTAAGAGTAAGAGTTAATTATTTATTTATAATTGTTCGCGTTACAAATGTTAAATATTGAACGAAATATTATTATCGATAAATATTATCGAATAAATACATCTTTCTTATGGAAAAATTATTTAATATATGCAGACTTATACCACTGTAATATACTCTTAAATAATTTTTATATAAGTAATATTTATTGGATATAATATTCAAATAAATTAATTAAACACGATATAATTAAGTATAACTATGTATTTATATATTTTGTTCATGCAATAAATAGCTAAAAACCTATTAATGAACAATTATAATTATATTATTAAACATTAATTGCAGAATATATGGATCATTTAGATACAAAACTAATAAGTTCTATATATATATAATTTTCATTTTAAATACAAATTTTAATTTTAATTTTGATAAAAATAAATATAATATTCAAGTCATAAATATAGATATCTCATCAATATAGAGAATTATTTGCAAAATAATCAATTTTTCAAATTCTCTATAATGCATGATAAAAAGATTCACGGCGTGCTTTAAAATTTGTCAACTACGACAGACTTTTAAGAAATACTGAAAGTAAAGTTTGATATTTGTTAAAACGAATGATAACTAGGGTGTACATTACGATTTATTTCAGATAAAATTAAACCTGTAAGTACTTAAGAATGAATAAGCAACAGTTCCAGAAGAGTAATCCGCTCGATATAGCGATACATGACGCCTAGATGTCGTATAAGGAAACAATCGCATACAACTTCGATGAAATTAGATTGTTATTATCGTGCTTGTAATAAAGTATATACACATGCGCGCTGGATTTCGTTCACTTATGATGGCCTACGAAAAATGGATTGACCTCGAACGAGGACTGGTTGGTGTAGGTTTAAGCCTCGGCCGACCCATTTTTTCTATTTTATTCGAGTTCCCTCGACGAGGGCTGCTAGGCTGAATTATCGAACACTAGGTCGACATCGTTATTATCATTGTCGTTGTTCTATTTCCAGTGTATCGGAAGCTATTTTTGTCTCGCGGCAGCTACGGGGTTGAATCCGGCATCGGGGGTGCCGTCGGGAATTCGTGCTTTGATCGATAATTCATCGTGCAGACGCGTTGACACCCCCGCAGCTATTGTGACGTTACAAATACACCCCACACCCACCACGAGCACACAACTTGAACCATTGCGCGCGGTCATTCCAGCACGTAATTTCGTCGGCCTTAATGAGCCGTTCAATTAATGAAAAGACGGTCGACAAAAATAACTCGCGATTCTAAAAAAAAACTCCATTTAGCCGGTTGACTTGGGATTATTAAACATTTATTTATTAACGAATATAACGATCGAGACGTCTCGACAATTCAATGACGCTTATTCAATCATAGCGCTATTGTTATATGCCGCCTTTCTTGCATTTGTGATGCAACGCTTCAATATAACACGTTATGATAACGATTCACTCCTCTTCTCATTTTAACGTCTCTTCTTAGCGATATAAGACTCAAGATTATAGTAGCAATCCATTTAATTTTTAGGTAGTTTGCGCCAACGCAAACTACCCTTCATTTATGAATAATAGATCTCTGGATAATTCAGCTCATTTGTTGAAAAATTAATGCTTTTTAATACGAAAAAGTTGTATAAAATGCAATTATAATGATTATAAGATTGTTGAGCAGAAATTGTTTAGAATTCAAGTGTCTTTTAAGATTGCCATCACCGCTGGTGATGTTATTATGTTTAAATGTTATTTTAAGTAAATTTTATTTTACTTATATATTATAATAAATGTAAATCAATGTATTTTATAATTTTTGTTTCAAATCTTAATGTTTTTATAAATAAGCGTTGTAATTACTTTAAGCGCTGCATATATTATGAGCCTCTTTTGCATCAGGACATTAAATATTTTATTCTATTCATAAATTTAATTCATGGTTAAGTTTTAGGTCTAATAAGTTAAATTTAGTATCACTTTTATATGCAATAAAGTTTCATATAATTAATTCATATCTCAATTATAGCTGCTCAAATATAAATAATATTCAGTTTGAAATTTAGAAATCTAAAAATGTAAACATCTACTAAATTGTAATAATTAATAATAAAAATAACAATTGCACAGTTAAAACGAAGTTCGTTTCGTGTGCACTTGCTAATTTATTTACAGGTTATAATGAAAAAATAACTTAACATGTGTTATTACATATGTTTTTTCCGTATATTTTATAAATATTTTATTCACTTTATATTTATTGTAAGCTAGCATTGTATATTGCACAATACCTTCTGAGCTATTAAATGAAATTTATTCTTCTAAATAAATTTTACATTTGATTTGCGCCTTGCACAAAATTATGCAAAAATACGGTCACGTATATTATGAATTCACAAAGTCGAAACTTACCGTTCTTTATGCTGCATCTGCTTCAGCATAATATCGGCTAGAGGGTCGGCGGTAGGTCGTTCACCTAGCAGCCGTTGGCGATCGAGATCACCTTGCATTTGAGTAAAGGCATGCTCGCCAAGGCTAATCGACGTCTCCAGGTGAGTGGTGAGATCAACGGTTTCATCCCCTAGACGTATAATATTTTAATAAGTATAAATTTAAGGTGTTCTTATAATATACTATTTAAATTACGTTTAACTTTTATTTAAATAAATATAACCTTATAGGATGGTTAATTTATTAATAAAGAATAAACTTATTCAAATAGTTTTCAATTACATTTTCTCGGGTATTTTCTAGTACATTGTATTATTTTTTTTTTTTTGCTCATAAACGAGGAAAGTATTTCATACATGAACATCTTAACATACTAAAATATAAATATCAACAAAATTATTCAATTGCTCTTTAAACGAAAATAAAGTCATTATGTCACATTTAATTTAATTTATATTTAATTTTTTTATGGAAATCAATAAGTAACCTTTTGTTTCATAAATGGCGCGGACTTAATACAAGGATCGGCGCATAAAAAATTGATTATTTTTATTCGTAAGGGATAAAAATTACATTAAAGCTTATTGTGAGCTCCTACATTTAAACATGTATAGTTTATTTAATTAGAGAACTGTTAAAAACACGTTATTATATTATGTATATAATATTAAATGAAATTATTAAATGAAAAATAATTTCATAGCTTATTAAATTAGATTTACTGCTTTGTAAATTATCTTAAAAATTAAATCTAAAATATCTAAAATTGAGCGAGTTACTTAATTATATACATATTATTAAATACACGAACTAATAAAAAATGACTGACGTTATTCGTATGCCAAATTTACATGCGAATAATCATTTGGCTTCGGAATAAGTCTAATATATAGTAGCTTACAAATATCAAGGATGTTATTTTGCGACCATTTTGCTAATTTAATATTACAATGAGAAATGGCCTGTTAATTTGCAAACTCAATGTTAAATTAGGACTCTAAAGTATTTGAAAAATACCATGCAAGGCATGTTGAGGATTGTCGATTATTCGAATTTGCCTATCGGGAAGTTGCGGTTCACCATCCATACCGCCAACGTCGCTTGGCAATTGCCAACAAGCGTTTTCTTCTTCGGCCAATGTTCTTGGAAAGTACAGCGATAGTAGAACCTCGTAAATGCCAAGATCACACGGCTCAAGAACGAATATCACACAATTAATTGATTCGCTATATTGTTCCAAGAATCGTCGCACAGTTCCTAAAATACCATAATAATAATTGTAGTAAGATAATTGTAAAAGTAAAATGAAATTCCTACGATTATCATTTTACCTTTCTAGAATATAAATATTATTATAACAACAAAACATATTTACATTCTGTGTTCGATATACTATTGTTTATAAGATTTTGCACTTTTTACGCAATTAAATATCTGATTATTGAATAATTCATAGTTATATTTGTGCACATGATGCACAATGAATACATTATTTTTCATTCGTATATCAATTCATAAATGAATGCTATATTACGTAGCTTATAATTAATATGAAAATATAAATTATTTCAATATAATTTTACAATAATGATTAATTCTTAAGGTATTCACAGTATGTTTAATTTTATTAAATCACATGTTAAGGAAAATAATTCCAAACGCGATGCGTGATTGTTTAATGAACAATAAATACAAATTTGTTAATATTACTAGTAACTTTATAATGTAATTATACTTAATATTTAATCAAATATCTATTATATCTGATAGTTTAATATTTAATCCATATATGTAAGTAAATTGATGTATCTGGTGCGATCAATTTTTTTTTTTTTTTTTTTTTTTTTTTAAATAAATCACGCGTCGCTATAAATTTTGTTCTATTTAATACTATAAAATAAATGCGGTAATGGACAACATAAATGGCCAATGCCATTATCTCCATTACAGCTTGAAAATAATACAACGTACTAAGGGCTATGTGTGCTCCTGCATCAGGTGGATAATTGCGACGAATGGAGTTGATGACTGGTAAGGCAATGTTACGCAATCCTAACTCATATGATTTTTGCAAAACATTTCTAAAAAGAAAAGCAGATTTAGTATTCGAATTATCATGCTTTTACTATTATTTCAATTTTTAATATTCAATATAAAAATTAAAAATTTTATATCGTACCTGTAGCAGTAGTGAAGTGTGTTTTCTGCCGCATTTTGATATTTCGTGTTGTAAACAGGCCCTACGGTATGAATAATAAAGCGAGCGGATAAACCGTGACCCTGAGTCGTCTTTACATCTCCAGTTCTGCATTCTATCAAATTAATATCATTTATATAATATAATAAGTAAATTAGTCGAAAAGCAGCTAATTAAAATTTTCCTCAATTATCATCTTAAAAATAATAATAAGCAAAAATAACACTTTCCCATGCAAATACATTAAGACGAATCAGAAATAAAATTCAATAAAATTAAATATAAAATAAATAAAGATAAAAATTCAATTCAGTCAGCGTAGTATTTAAAAAAAAAGAGACTATTCCAATACATACAAATATACCTTTTACTTCGTTGTAAATTTCTTTTTTAAGGCCAGGACCGGCACGAGTGAAAATTCTTTGGCACATTGGACTATTGTCGTCCATAGTCTCGTTGGTGGAATTTACAATCGCATCCACCTGTAAAACTGTTATGTCTCCCGTCCTGAAAGAAAATTCGATTAAAATTATATAAAATTTCTCTGTCCATTATTAATATTTGTGAAAGAAAATTTTAGAAATATATATAATTATATGTAAATTTTGATGTCAAATATTTCGTATAACAATTATAATTGTATTTTCTATAAAACAGATTCTAATTTTCAATAAAAGAAACATTAATTTATATTAGGAATTAATAGATTTGCATAATTTTAAAAATATTTTAGATCATTTTACTTGTAATTATCATGTCTAAATTCTACGTCAACATAAATTTATTATATAAACATGTTTGTCTCTTCTTGGTTGAAAGATAAATGATAAACAACAGTGAATATATACGTAAATACTTACAAAAGTATCAAATATACTTATATATTAATCTTACTAAATCTTAATACGACATAATTCTTAGTAAGATAGTACAACATAACATTGTAATACATATGTTGAACTTTTCTTGTACAAGTTAATTTATAAATAATTGCCAACTATACTACTTAATAGCTAATTCTTTAAAGGTAAATTTAATATCAATAATTTCTATATCATAGATTTTAATTCTATTTCATTTATATATCATTTTATATCATTTTATATATCTGTAAAATTATGCAAAGTATATTTTTCAAACAACTTCATGAAATAATCGACAAATTTTCATTAAAAAAAAGCTGTAAATTAATATTTTTATATTTACAATAATTTAATGTCTTAAATTATCCATTACATTTATTTACATTTATTTATTTTCAATATAAACTCATTATAGCATAATTTCAATTTGGTTTGAGATTTTTTTTTCTTTTTTTGCTTCATAACGATTAAGATTGAAAATATAGATAGGTAATTAATTTTATAATTTACTACTTATAAAATTTATACGACGTGTACAACTTTATGATTTAGAAGTTCTAATGCAAGTTTATCGGTAATTATACATTCTTACCTAGAAAAATATGAATATAATACAACGATAGTTATCAAATAATTATATTTGTTTAATTATGTCATTTATAATAGATTTATGGTCTTTTATTAATTATATTAATAATTTAAATCAATTTTAAATATTTTCATTAATTCAAATTTAAATGGTTTACATTTTAAATTTTTAATATGTTCGTTAATTAAAATTTAAATAGTTTATTTTTTAAGTTTAATACGTTTAAATTTGTAGTATTTGAGTATCTTATATATAACATATACATTTTATTCCGAATTACATATAAGTAAATGAGGTTATATATGGAAAGGTATATTCTTATACTTTATCTCGATCCATTCAAGTAAGAACATTTGTAAATACAAATTCTAATCTGGATAAACTCTACAAAGCTAGATAGTCTGCGTTATGTTGTTATGCGATTGAAATTGTAAATTTGATTAAAGTTAGTTTTTTAAAACTTAGCCATTGCATCGATTGATTTAAGTAAAGTTAAAAAATTATTCAAGCTTATATTTTGAATTATTTATAACATAGATAATTAAACGATGAATTAATACAATTCATTTTATATATGTAAGAAATTATTGCATATTATAATACAAATTGTAATAAATATTGCTTATTACAATGAAAAATATTAATTATATTAATTATATTAAATACATATATATATATATATATATTTATTTATTTATTTTTATATACCTTTTCGTTTTTCAAAATTTTGATTGGTTTCTGTTTTGTTGACGCGTAAGAAACGAAATTCTTTTATTTTGCGAAACATATAAGTATGAACTTTCAAGATTACCACATCAAGTTCTTACCATATTGCAATTTTATTGTTTACCGACGGCTGACAAGGAAATGGGCTGACGGTATAATGCGCGGAGTCGCCGAGCGTGTTTGAATAATCGGTGAATCGATGCTGCGTCGGGAAATCGGACCATCGTTTCAGCGTTGAAAGCTTCACGACTTCCAGATCAACGCCCAGCGGTTCCATTAGCCTCATTTAGCTGAAAAATAAATATTACTTTATATTGTTTGATTTGACATTGATTATATTTTCTGCCTTTGCTCGCGTTGATACAAAAAATCAATATAAGCTAAAGAAATGCCCGCGAGCAATTGGAATTTTTAATTCGCATGTTTATTGCTGTGAAACTTTTGTCCTTTATTTTTGTACTAAAGTATTATTTTTTATCGCAAAATCCGATGCGATGCATATATATTATATATATATATATATATATATATATATAATATTGTATAATCTAGCCTTACTTTGGTATTTTAAATCCTTTCTTAATGTTATATGTATGATGATAAAAAATAGAGTTTCCATGACATCAAATGCTGAAAACTGGGCTTGAAGGATATTACGTGAGGTTATAACATGTTTTAATAAATTTTATAGTACTTAATAAGATACAATGTTAAGTAAGAAATTTAATTGTAAATACATAGAAAATCAATGCTTAATTATAAATGCTTTTCATTGTGGTTAATCTGGTAATAATTATTCACTTGTATACGAAGTAAAATAAATATTTAATTTTTTCTAGATTAAGTTTTATTTGCTCTCATTATAATCAAAAATCAAGAAATTTACTGTATGAATTTGAATCATGTACAATTATGAAACTGAAGCAATACTATATTTTAATGAAACATTATAATAAAATTGTATTATGTTTAAAATAAAGACAAATTTTCCAATTGTAATATATATATATAGGATTATTAATCGTAGAATATAACAATATTTATCATTATAGAAGTAAGTTTATTTGAAAATTTTATGAAAGAAAAGTAAGCAATAACAGATTTAATGATAAAAAGAGATAATTATAAAATTCTCTTAAACTCCATGTAATTTACTCAAATTTAACATCATTATAGATTCGTATAGTTACTTATTTATAACACACACACACACACACACACACACACACACACACACATATACACATACCTACCCTTATTATAGACCGATTTCTTTAGGAAATGAGGGCTATCAATTTTATATTAAAATTGACTTCTTAAATACTGATTGTTTTCGGAATTGCGGTAAAAAATATATGTCACAAAATTTTTCTCTATTATTATAGAACACTTATTTCAATAGCAGCAACTTCATTCTTCGAACATAATAGATAGGATGCCATCCTAAACAGTTGCATCAGGCAGAAGCCTCATCGATACTCGATACACTAAGGCTTCTCGAGTGAAGCTAATGCTATAGAAACTGACAGGCGCGAGTATTACGAAAAATCTTATGCACTTTCGACGAATCGCATGATGATTGTACAAGTACAATATTCCTCCACTTGCATACAGCCAATAAAATAAATGAATATCTATTATTATTACATCTAAGATATATATATATATATATATATATATATATATATATATATGAATATAATCTTTTCCTCTCTATTTTACTCTGCTCTATCCTCTATTCATCGCTGGTATACTGTCCTCTCTTCCACTCTAGTTCGTACTATTTCACGACAGATTATTCTTTTTTAGATTAATCCTACTTCTGTTTATTTTTCTCAACTCTGTTCTGCTTTGGTTATTAACAAGAATTGTTCTAACGGACATAATCAATATTGAACGATCCAATTATTTAGAGATAATTTTTCTAATTAAGCAATAGTTATTTCATTTAACAATCATTTTTTGCAGCATTTGCATTTCAACTTGAGTGCTTCTTCAAGTTCGTAAACAGAATGTGAACATGAATATATTACAAGCTATACAACAAATCGATCGAACTAAACAGTGAAGTAGAAGAATATTGTAAGCAAAATTACTTAACGTGTATTCTAGAATTTTCTGATCGCGAAATAGTAAAGAAAACGCGATTATTGTTAAATAGTAATTTAATCGACTTTATAAGAGCATCAAAATATTATTTATAGACAAAGTTTAAGTAATATCGAAATAATGACAACAACAAAAAAATAGCGATAGTCAGTGTAGAAAGTCCATGAATTATTTTTGTCTAACTCATTATAAGAATTGAAGTAAAAATAGATTACATGTATAAATACAATCAATAGTTAAATTTTATTTATAATGAACGATGATTATATAATTACTGTAGAAAATATATTAACGCATTATCTTAATTCCTATTGCATCTAGCTACATATGTCAGGCGCAGCAATTACTTAGGAATATAAAATATAATATTCTAATTCTTTTTTAAAAATGTAATTCTCAAAATATGAAAATTACAGAATCGTTTTGAATTAAAATAATTTATTTTTAAGAGTCTTTTACTAATATATCAATCTTGTATATTAAACTTATTATAATATAAAAAGTACATAAATTTCATATACAAAATGTGCTTATTTCGTTTCGAATAAAAGGAAACAAGTTAATTTATAAAATAAGAGAATAGACATTAATATCATTGATAAGTAAATATCTGAAAAATTTCGAATATAAATATAATGAGTTAAAATATGAAAGCCCCTAAAAACTAATAAATTTAATTCAATAAAAATTCTTATGATATAAATGTTTTATTTAGTAAAAAAAAAAACTCAATACATTTTCATAAATCAGTATCATATTCAATAATTGTTTCAAAAAAAATTATTATCAGGAAAAAATTTTCATTATAAGCTAGGTCCTCATATATTAGACTGTCGAGTTTAAATATTATCATCTTTAAACTTTCTAGCGTTAACATTATGCCAACCATATTAAAGTTTTACAGACATTATGAATCCATAAAAAATGTATAAATTAAATTTGAAGTTTGTCAGAATTTTAATTTTCGTGGTGCAAAGAATTAATATAAATTATATAATATAATAAATTGAGAGTATTAAAATAACATTAATCTAATTAATCAGATAATACCTTGACAGAAATAAATTTATTTACAAAATGTTAAATCTATTATAATTTTTCTATGAAATAAGATTTTTGTTTTTTTTTTTTTTTACCAAGAGAATGAAACTTAATTCAAATAAAATTGAGTTGAATTGTATTTCCTATCCAGTCAAGCCAATTATTTTATGCTGCATTACAATTTTATTTTTCAATCTATTATTTATTCTTCATCTAATGATATAGATAATTCTCTTGACGTACACTAGTACATTTATTTCTATAGGATAGAAACATCGGCGAAAATTATTTTAATTTGACAAACCAATTTTATATAGAAAATTATAAATATCGAAATATAATTTATATAATTGATGTCTTCGAAACTTTATGAATTGTAACCTGAAATTTAAAAGTAGGTAGTATATTACATAAAAAAATATACATTTTTTTTGCAGTTGCATTGTTCTCGATAATAATCTAGATACAGAAAATTCGTGCTTAAACAAGATTATAATCTGCATTATAGTTTTAAAACTCATCATTTTTAATATTTAAAAAAATAAATGTTAAAAAGTAAAGTTTAATTTCGGTGATAATTAGTGAATAAGTATATTTTATAAATGAAATTATTGTACAAATGAAGAAGAATACTTTATATAAATAATATTTATAATTACTAAAAACTTCGTTCAATTATTCAGAAATTATTATAAAAATAGTATTAAAATTATAAATACAGGGTAAAATTGAAGGAAATTTTGAATATATTTTCAAAGAAATTACATAACCATTTTAACTTCAGCATGTAAAATTAATGTGCAACATGAATTAGCAATTTTAAATTGTTTTACAATCAGTATTCTACATTAATTAAATTCTATGTGTAATTAACTTATAATGTTTAGAATTAATTTTTTAATTTAAATATTTTTTTATAATAAAATCTTTTCAAATTTTACTCTTTTATTAGTAAAATTTTATATTATATAGATATAATATATATCTAATGACTATGATCTGAAAGTGAATATTTCTAATTTAAATAACGACATAATTGTTCGATTATTCGAAAAATTTTCATTAATTAAAGAAAAATGATTATTTCATTTCGGAAAAGTAATTTTTTAGTTTATAATTAATGTGAAAAATTAATGCAAATAGATAATTAAGATAATTTTAAACTTTCTTAAAATATGCTTTATAATTATAATTTACAATTATTTTAGTTCATATTTCATTCGAGTTATTTTTAAAATAATTTTTTTCCACAAATATTTTGTAAAGTATCGACAACTTAATTGGCTAAATAAATAACTTCATAATTGACTTACTTAAACTTTTTAAATAAATTACTTATAAATCTTATCTTTAATCTTTATTCTTTAATCTTTAATCTTTTATCTTATCTTTACTTCAGAATCGATGCCACCACAATTAGTACGAATGTAACATTTAATACTAAAGTTATAATGTAAACTTTTGTACTAGTATAGTATCAGCAAAATGCATTACGTGTACAGTAAGATTAACCTAAGTCAGTTGCAAATGGTTCAACTAAAAAGAAAAAGGCTTTGGTAGCCATTCATAAATTCAACATTAAGTATGTTTGAAATTCATTTCGATAAATCGAATTTCATAAAGGATATATTATATTATAGTATTTATACGTTTGTAGGTGTTTGCGTTTATTTATTATAACTATATAATCGGGCTGGGGCTTGTAAATAAATTCTATTAATGCAATTTAAACATGGAATATTTTTATATTTAAATGTCGTTTTTCATTCTTATACATTAATTGAAGTAAATGAAAAATCAGTTTAAGAATCGTATTGTAGCTCGATACAATAAAAATATCGAAAATTATACTGATAATAAATATAAGTCTATCGATTGCTATTCATTCGTAAATTCAATACAATAGTTAAATGGAAGGATGTCAAATTTTTATCAGTTATAAAAGTCAAGTTTTTACAAATCAATTTTAATTGAAAAATAAAGAAAATGTATTTCAATATTGACTTTATATAAAATAAATGTTTGATTTGATTTAAAGCATTTGCAATGTATAAACTGGGTATAAAATATTTTAATTAATAATAATATGAATTAATAATTTTATTGTGCAATAAATAATATGAACTTGAGGTACTTTTAA